GCTGTTGACTCAAAAGTGGGCATATGAGTATTATGTGGTCAATATCTGCGGGAGCACCACATCTACATTTATTGTCTGGTATTAGGCCAAAGTGTAATAGTTTAGCTTTTGTTGGATATGTTCTGGTTCGAATTCGAGAAAAGGTTACGTCTTGGTATCTGCAGGAGAGGGAAAGTCTGTGTTCTTTGGTTATATTGGTCATGTGTGGAAAATCAGCATAGTATTTACTGTTTTTAAAGACTGCTTGTCTAGTTTGTTGAAACAGTTGTTTAATCTCCTGGTGTAAATTTGTTGTAGATTTTAGGTCTGATTATAGCCGCATTTGCCATCTGGTCTGCAATTTCGTTACCGAGAATTTCGGATAGACCAGGGGCCCACACTAGTTTCACTGATTGGCTGGATATTGAAAGCGTTTCCAAAGAAGACAGAATGTGATAAATGATTGCTTGCGATGAAGCAGAGGTAGAGCCGAGGGCTGTGAGAATTGATAGTGAGTCGGTTAAAACTACTACATGTTGTGTGTTTGAGTGACCTCTTTGAATCACCAGTAAGACGGCGATACCCTCCGCTGCAAATATTGAGCAAATGGAAGGGACAGGTCCTGACAGCGATGAAACGGAGCGAGAATTGTAAATTGCTACTCCAGTCTTGGCTGACATCCGGGAAGCATCTGTATAGAGTAAAGTGTGGTAAGGCCAGCGATTGCGGACAACATCCCAGAATACGGTCGGAAGTAAGTTTTTTGGTATCTTTTTATCTTGGAAGGGGAGGTTGCATAGATAGATGTATGCGAACTTTTAAAGGCAACTGAGGAGCTCGTTGGGTATATAAATCATGTGTTTGATATTGATTCCGTATTGGTTTAGCTAGTTCTCTGCTTGTGGAGGAAGAGCTGATTTTCTATAAGTATTCGGGATAAAGAGGTTACGATATGTTATTACACTTAATGATTGGTAGTTGACTTGTCGGACATAAAAGCGCATCGAGAGCATATTGTGGCGTTCTTGAAGACTCAGACAACCTGCCTCCTGATAAAGCAGTGGTAATGGGGTCCACTTCGGATGGCTCGTAGCAATGCGAAGTGCTGCATGATACACAGTGTCATGATTTTGCTCTCACTGTTGCTAGCAAGGGAGTGAAGGTGGCAACCAAAGGTTATAATAAAGGTAGGTGTTATATATGACTGGACGATGCGAAGCAAAGTGGTAAGAGCATGAGCCTCAAGAGTTTCTTGCAATACATTTCAGTATATTGAGCTTTTTCAGCGTGGATGCTCGTTTCTGTTGGAAATGGTAACGATAGCTGAGATTTGAGGAGAAATAAATACCTAAAATGCGGATGCGGGATGACCATGTAATTGTTTCTCCTTGAAAGAGGAGATCGGGAAGGGGTTCAATCTGACGGTGGGAGAAGTCGATTTCTCGATATTTGCTAATATCTGCCTTTAGATGCCATTCCGTTAGCCAATTCTGCACTCGTAGTAGAGTTAATTGTAGTTTTCGAAGTACAGACTGTAGGCAGTGGGCGTAAATAAGGAGAAAAATGTCGTCCTCATACACAAAATATATGACTCCGTCTGGGAGATTGTCAAAAATGTCGTTAATGTAGATGATGAAAAGGAGAGGTGACAGCACTGATCCCTGAGGTACGCCCTTGCTTGCACTAAATGTACTTAAGTACGTATTCCTCCAACGCACTCTGAATGATCTCTCAGTAACAATGTCACAGATCCACTTATGAGTGGATCCCGAAATGTTATGTTGTAGAAGTTTGTATGCTAAATCATCTGACTAAACGTGGTCGTAAGCTTGAGCGATATCCAAAAAGATGCCTATCGTAAAAAGGGGATTCGCCTTGGCAAATCGAATGTGGTGGTCTAGCGTGGAGAGAGGGCTGTCGCATCCACGTCGGGGAAGAAATCCGTGGAGGTATGGGTGAAGGGATTTTTGCCGTTCAAGATGTACTACCAGACGTTTAAAAATGATGCGCTCCATTGTCTTGCAGATAACGCTTATGAGGGATATGGGTCGGTAGGAAGTGATGTGTTGGCGTGGCCTACCGGGTTTAGCGATTGGGAGCACAATTGAAAATTTCCATTCAGCAGGGAGTGTTCCTGACTCCCAGGAGTTGTTCATTAGGGAAATCAGCGTGTTCAAAGATTGCTCGTCGAGTCCTTTTAGCATGCGGGCCGAAATTTGGTCAGGGCCTGGTGAGGTGGATTTAGCCTGTGTAATGGCGGCCTGTAGTTCGGAAAGTAGAAAGGAATCGGAGAGAGCAGAGCGGGTATTTAATCCACTGGCGTCATAGGGGATGCCCATTGTGATCGGTTCTCTTGCATATGAGTGGCCAAAGAGCTCAGCCTGTTGTTGGGAGTCGAAGATATGCTGAGTACCATGTAAGATATGAGAGTCTGATCCAGGAGATTGCACACGTTGTAGATTTTTTAAGAGTCTAAATATGTTGGGCGAGGAACCTGAAGATGAGCACAATTTTGCCCAGTATGCTTTGGATTCCTTTTCGATCGTAGATCGGAGTATAGCAGCCGTTCGCTTATACTTGATCCAAAGTTCAGGATTGTTTGAACGTTTAGCCAGCAGTCTCCACATTTTCCTTTTCACATCAGGAAGATATGAAGACCACCACGGGGGAAAGTTAGTCTTTGATTCTTGAATACACATAAAGATTCTTGAATACACATAACTGATGAGCGTGAGAAGTAGGAGGTCTGAAGCCACTGCCTTTAATCGGTAATGCTTCTACAGTTCCAGGATATAACTTGTATCATTTGAATTACAGACGGAAGAAAGATATTTGGGAAATTATGATCGTTTAAGATTTCTGGCGCGACGTTTGTCCAACTTCACTGATGTATGTATTTGATCTAGCTTGTGGTGTATTTTTGGGAGAGCTCTTAGTTGTGGTACCTGTGCATGTTTGGGATGAGGCCGAGCTTGAAATTCCTTGATGCGATTGTTCCAATGTGGGGATAAGAGAAGATGCGCTGTTTTGGGATATTTGATCGGTAGTAGGTTTAGCTGGCGAAATGGGAACTGGTTCGAGAAATGTCGGAAGGGAGGCTTGATTATCTTGTTCTAGAGAGCGGAATTTCTTTCTGGAGGAGTGAGGTTCGATTGAGTTGTCTAATCGGGAAGTTAAGTTATCAATTACTGTAAACAGCTTTCCAAAAAGAATGTCCTGACATTGGGTGAGTGCTTGCAATTTGGAATCGAATGATGTAACTACTTCTGACAATACGCTCTTGACTATGGACTTTATAGTTTCAACTGTCGTTACGCGCTCAGATTTAGATATCGTCGCACAGGTAGAGGTGTGTTGAATGGGCTTGAACTGGCGTCTAGCCTCTGAGAATGATAGACGTTGTTTACTTTTGAATTCTAAGAATTTTGCTTCTTCCAACCGAGATGGGCATGTAAGGGCATCAGCAGGGTGATTCCCTGCACAATTGATACAGGTTGGTTCTGTACTGACACATTCTGAGAAGACATGTGTGCCGCTGCAATAAGAACAGATTTGTTGCTTGGCGGAGCAATTCTTTGTTGAATGATTGAACTTGTAGTAACATTTAGAGCACTGTCTAGGTCGGTCATAAAAAAGGGCGGGCTTTACGAGGTTGTATCAAAATTTTACTTCTGTTGGTATTGAAATGCCGTAGATTGTAATAAGGCATGTCTCAGAGAGTGACGAAGATCCTCTTTTTGTAAGTAAGGTTGAACTCCGACCCACCCCAGGGGGGTATACGGAGATAAAAGTAAAATTATTACAATAAAATTTCTCTAAAAACTAAAGTTACAGTAAAATTTCGCCAAATGACAGTGGTGGTGATCAGTTAAAAGTGGATTAACAATAAAGTTTGACAATTAAAAACATGTGTTAAAGGCAATGAAACCCAATAGCGCCGGTGTAAATGTCGAGAATTAAATGATTATAATAATAAGGAAACAAGAGATAAAAAATCTCAAAACTAAAATCAATGAAAGCTAAAAGTCCAAATAGTAAATGTCTAAAAGTAAAAGTCTGACTAGAAGTCTATGAAGTCTAAAATCAAAAGTAGATAAAAATTCAAAATGTAAGGCTAAAAGTTGATTAGTAAAAATTAACGATGACATGCTCTATTGTTGGTTCATGACTGGGGCCAGTTGATCTGGGGCTAGAATGTCCTCGAGGGTATCCTCTTTTTGTAAATCGGCGAATGCTATGCACAGTTACGTCGTTGAATGATAATTCAGAAGCCAGTTCAGTAAGTGAGTGATCAATAGGGATTTCTTGTAGCAGGAATTTTGATGTGCTGTTTTCTGTTTGAATGCTAGGTTGGGTTTGAATTCCCATAAGTTTGGTTAGTTTGGAGATTTCGATTGCAGTATTCAAGTTCGCAGTTTTAATTAACATTTTGCCGTTTCCAGTGTGCATGCAAGTCATTATATTTACGGGTACTGTAACAGCTTTAGTTAGATCATCTTTAAGCAGGATTGGTTTTTTTGGGAAAGAATTGTGTCCTATTGGGGTAAAAATTACAATTGAATTCTAAATTTGTTTCGGTGGACACTTTAATTGTTCGAGAGTAGTGTTGGTTTGTAGATAAATCCATCTCTTTCTCCCTCATGTTGAGGAAAAAAGGGGAAATTATTATACTTGAGAATACTTGAAATTCGCTTACTTTGTTGTCGCCAACTGTTACTTCAGCCCGCACTAGTGGGTGGTACACAAAATAAGAAAATCAATTTACTGATATTAATGATCTGAGATTCAGTATCCCAATGTACAAGATAGTGGTATACACCAATTGGTATTATTTCATCTGCTAACCCGAGATGGATGTAGACAGATGTTGGCACTAAGAATTTCAAACGAAATTTTCACTAAAGAAAAAACGTCCAACACTCACAACTCCGAAAAGTCCTCTTCATACAAAAACTAACTTGCATCCTACATATACTCAAATAACCAGTAAATTAAAATCTAGTTTATAACTTACATATACTCAAATAGCAAATAAATAAAATATAATACTTTTAACATCTACCGCCATCTGCGTTTCACGCCCGTTACCAAACAGCAAGCTCCACCAATGATAGTCGAGGATCTCTAGTCAAAACAAAAGTGAACACATGTCACTTGCATGGCCGTATGTTTATTTATGCAATTGCTTAGTCCATGTTTGTGTGCAGCAACCAGATTTATCTATTTATTTCTGTATTTAATTAAAATATTTCTTGTTTTTAATCATTGCAAAAGAATGAATTTCCGATTAAAATTTTGATTGGAAATATTCTACTCGAAACAACATTTCTAAGTAACATGAATTTTTAAAAATAATACCCAGAAAAAAAATATAAACCTGAATCAACAAAACCTACTGATTAAACCAAGTAATTACTTTGGCATAAAATTTTCTTTGGTGAAACTATTAAAATCTGTTTACTCTGTAATAGCAGGGTATTTAAAAATTTTTAAAAAAATATCTCATTTAGTTTTTTTATCTTCTCTCCACTTCATGTAGATGGAAAGCTCAATTAAAAGTAAAGATCTGGACAGTGTGATTGTTAGTATAGATCTTCCATTAGCAGAAAAATTTTACATGCGTAAGTTTTTATTTCATACAAATAACGTAATTGTATTGTAGTGTTGAAATAAAATAAGTGCAGAAATGATCGGCTTACTATTTAATGAAAATATGTGATCTAACTATTTTTGATGATTTATAGTTTCAGGGGAAAAACTAATAATGAACTGTGGTATGATAATAATAGTATCATACCATCAGGGACTGATTAATTGTAACTTCTTTGAACTGAAATTCGTAATAAGTACCCTTTGTCGAAAAAATTACCCTTTAAAGCATAAATTAACAGTTTTGATTTGTATAGGGTTGAAAACAGTTGAGAAATTCTTTTATTTAACGTCAATTCGCTTTTAGGTCCATATCTTTTTAGCTCTCACATACTGTAATAGCTAATACAAATTTTGGAAGACATTCTGTTCTTTGAACATGTGTTAACTGTAGGCTAATTTTTTTTAAGAAATATGTATGTTAGCTAAGACCTGTATACCCAAGTAACTTACATTAATTTAATTAATTTGATGTGTTAACATCATTCATGCAAGGTTAAAAAGATAATTTTTAATCAAGCTCTATAATTTCATTAAATGAGGTTCTATTCCATATCCTTGGGGCCATAAAAATCAACAAATTGCTACACAGACCAGTGTAGGAATATTTGCTTCTGGTAAAGTATTTATGGTCCCACAAAATGGACATCTTAATCACCGTGGTCGAATCACGGCGACATTGTCGCAGAACGTTAAGAGTTCTTGCAGAACAATTTTTCTTTTCGAAAGTAAAAAAAAAAATTTACTTTTCTTTTCTACGGAAATTTAATTGAATTTAATTGTAATACTTGAATCATGTATTTAGATAATCACTTTTTGGTACGCTTAATGTACGCCAATATAATAAATCAGTGTAATGTTTTGATTGTATTTTCAACAATTTATTGATATTGATTTTCACATGGTTTTTAAAGATCCCGATATATTTCAAACAATCAGAAAAATTCAAATTATGCATTTGGGTATTTGCTTTTTAAAGCAATAAATAATTCTATCAAATTTTTGGCAGTTATTCCTATAGCCTATAGATTTTTTACGTCACTGCTGGTGACTTTCTGGGTCGAAGGGTGTTTCAGGTTTGTGTCATTCTTTTTTTTTCCCTCTTAGATCCTATTCTGCCAATGCCTAGTTATAGCTAAAATTTGGCAGTATTTTAGGGTAACTAATGGTATTGAATTATTCTCTTTTATTTTTGCATCTATGACACTATTTAATCTTAATGCATTGATTATGTTATAATTTATTTTTGCCTATTTAATCTAATTAGTATTAAAAATGTATACCTCTCTCTGAAAGAATATAACATACTACTTCCACAAAAAAGTTATTCTTGACAACATAACCATACCAATAAAAATAATCATATTTAATCATTGCGTTCAATGCTTCAGCAACATATTATTTTTTTGCTNTCAAAATAAAAAATAATATTTTTAAAAACCACGTTTTTGTAGTGGAGAATAATAATTAAAAAAAAAATTTAAAAACGAAAAACGTGGGGCACATGAAATACATAACTGTAATGTTATATTAGTGTGTGTATGTGTGCTCTTGAGAATATGTGCATGGCATATCTGTAATCGTAATTGTATCTGAATGTGGAATATGTTTGTGTATATGCATATTTATGTGGATGTATATGTGGCTGTGCATGTGTATGAGTAAGAAAATGTGTATATGTATGTGTATATATACTGTTATGTATTTCATGCGCCCCACATTTTTCGTTTTTCAATTTTTTTTAATTATTATTCTCCACTACAAAAACGTGGCTTTTAAAAATATTATTTTTTATTTTGAATTTTTTTATTTTAAATTATAATTTTTTTAATTTTTATTTTATATTTTTTAAAAGTTATTACTTTTTAATTATTATTCTTCACTACAAAAAACGTGGTTTTTAAAAATATATATTTTTATTTAGATTATTTTTCTTAGTCAAGAGTAGTCAAGACTACTAAAAGACCACTACTAAAATAATAGAACTTTCATTTTAAATTAGGGATACGAAGACCTTTATAGAAAAACAATACCTTTACTAATTTCATTAGTTTTATGCTGATGAGAACCAAAACAATCTGGAAATGAATGAGGAAAAACTGGATACTACCACGTGATTTTTCAACCTATAAAAATGCTCCGACAATAAAAATCTTTTCACCTGACATGTAATACTAATTTGAAATAATGGAATCGACAACAAAAGACAATCTCGAAAATAATTTTTTTTTTATTTTTAATTTTATTTTACTTTGTATGTCTTTTTTCTCTTCATTTTCATGCATTGTCATCCGATTCTGAACTATGTGCCAAATTTGAAGTTTGTGGCTAATCGAGAAGTTAGTTTAAAATCGATTACAAAATTCCACCCGGACAGACATACACGAAGGCAAGTTTATATAAACGTGGTAAAATAATCATTGTATTCAATGCTTCAGCAACATATTATTTTTTTGCTTTTCCAGCTGATTTTTGGTTTATTTCCCACTTTGCTGGTAACATACCTATTTAAAGTATATAATACCTGAATTTGAAACATTACCTAATGTATTACTTTTTTCTTAATAACAGGGACTCAACAGTCCTTGAAGTATGTGTCTTTAGTGACACTTACAGTTCAAAATGCTGCCCTCAACATCATGATGAGGATATCTCGTACACAGCCTGAACTGTTTCTGTCGAGTACAGCTGTTGTGATATCAGAAATTATAAAGCTCTTTTGCAGCCTCCTCATGGTGTGGGTGACGGATGGAGAAAGCAATTTCAAGCTATTTTTATCTTCACTCAAGAAAGAAATCATACATCAACCCATGGAAATTGTTAAGGTAAGGTTCTTCATGGCTGAGAAATAAGGAAATGCCGCATCAACTGCATTAACACAAAACATACTATAACAGGTCAAATGACTGTTTAAGAGCTTTTGCACCGAAAATGTGCTTATCGTCTTATCGCTTTTGCACATTTGACTTCATGACTTTTTCTAGCAATTATATACAGTTAATATTCAATTATTATTCTTTTTTTATGTTTTGTTTGTGTCAAATAATACTTGTTCAAATATTACTTGTTGTCAGGGCCGGATTAACCTCTAGGCATGTGCCTAGGGCCTACGAAAAACTTCGGAGAAAAAAATTTGTTGACAAAAATAATTTAGCTTTAAAAACAACAAGTGTATTTTGCACAAAATTATGAAGATACAAATAAAAATATAATATTTTTCGGTAATAAATTATTTTGCAGAATCTTATGATCTAATATATTACTTTTTTGCGATTTTTGGATTCAACGAAATCTTGTATTATGCTGTCGAATTCCAAACTACGCAAAATGTCGTATTCAATTGACATAAGTGTGAGCGATGCCAAACGATCTTGATTCATTGTTGAACGCAATTAATTTTTTTTCAATTTTAATCTGGAGAAAGATCTTTCTCCTTCTGCATTTGATCCAAGAATCGACAAATATATTCTTATTGCAATGTGAACGTTAGGAAAAGCATTCACAAGTTTATCTTTAATTGCCTAGGGCCTACGAAAATTGGCTATGCCTACGAAAGGTATAATCCGGCTGTGCTTGTCGTAAACCTATTTATACCACAACCGGTCATTTGACCGGAAGAACAATTTAATGCTAAAGCATTAAATTGTTATCCGATAACCTTATAAATAAGGTTATCAGATCAGACGCTGTGATGTAATGTGTGTTCAACGTATTGCATTCGATGAGTTGATCTGCTGATAGCAAAAATACTTCTTCTTATTCCTCAACAGATGGCATTTTATAAAATACCCTTCTTACATTTAAAATTCTTTTATGTTTTATTTTAAATACATTAGCGGTCACGCACAACACTCTTCGTTATAGTTCTCTAATCCCAAAAACTGTTTGTGCAGTCCTTTTCAGATAACTTTGCTCACTCATTTCGTCCTGATTTTATAAATTACCCTTCTTTTATATTTAAAATTCTTTTATGTTTTATTTTCAATACATTAGAGGTCACAGACAATTTTAATGCCAAAAGACAGAACTATACAAAGTCAAAGTATTAAAAATATTTCTGACATCTTACATTTCTAGGAATTTTTTTATTTTAATATTTTCTTATGACATTTGGATGATTATTTCACCATAAAAACTTTATGTCAATCTTATTTTAAATTAATATTGTTTTTATTTTGCAAAAACACTGATTATTATTCAATTTTTCAATTGAATTTTTGTCTGGGTTTTAAAAGTGATCAATTGATTAATCTTCATTGTCTTAAAAGGTTTAGGATTTTTTCTTTTTTGATGTGTGTAAGATTTAAGCTTAAAAATGAAAATGTATAACTGGTTTCATTCTTGCAGGTTGCCATTCCTTCATTTGTTTATTTATTGCAGAATAATCTTATTTATGTTGGAGCTACTCATTTAGATGCTGCCACTTGTCAGGTCAGAAAACTCATTTATCCAATTCAAATTTATCTCTTTCAGAATGAAATAAGATTAAAAAATAAAAATGTTACTGTTATTATAGAAAAATTATTTTGCACGTTGTTTTCGTTTTCCTCTACATCTGATTGATATATTGCTTTGGGTATCATTGCAAGTTCTAATAACAAAGAAATGTGGGTAATTTTCCTGAAATGTGTGACATTTCTAAATTTTCCATTTTTCACAAGGGGTGTAGTATTTCCTTTTTTTAGAAAAGCAAGGTATGCATACTCGTATATTTACAAATCTTCAAAAATATCTATATTTATTTTAGATAAGCTTAATTTTTAAAAATTCGGCAAAACTTTTATTACTATCTTTTGTTATAAATCATGCATAAATTCAAAAAATACAGTCACCCCTATTATACATATTTAAATTGTCTGTTTATTTTAATGAAAAAAATTAAGAAACATTAATTTTTGTTCTTAAAAATTAAAATTAAAAAAAAAAAATTAGCGATAAAATTTAACCACTCCAGCTAGAATTGGATTTCGATACTTCTTTTACAGAAAGCGGACAGTCAAACCATTACATCACGAGTACACTTAAGTTGGGAAGAATATATAGAACATAGAATTATAGAACATATTTTACCCTAACGGCAAATTAGGNTGATTAGATTTTGAAAAGCAAAAAGCAATGTGAAAAAGAAAACGTATTTAAGGCTTCAGGGGGCCCCAGCTGCAAATAAAACTTTTTTTTCAAAAGTGGGATCTGGGGGCCCTTGCCATCTCGGGGCCCCAAGCTTATACGTAAATCCGGCCCTGCCCGAGATCATCCAATATGTTCAGTACATTAAAGTAATATTGCACAAATTAAAATAATAAACTTATGAACAAAACTCATTTTGAAAGTCATTAGATCATAATAAGTAACTTTTTTTTCTTTTTGAAATAACATGTTTTTATGCGTAGAATAAATTAAATAATATTATTTGAGATAAGACTAAAACTGTGTTTAAATTTTATATAAATTTTTTTTTTGACTTTTTCCTTTTAAATTTTTGACCTTTTTCTTGAATTTTTTCTTCTTATCTCTGTATAAACCCTGACAATACAGATAAAATAATAATAAAAAGAAATATTAAAAGAAATTATTAAAAAAAATTTGTTAATTCTCAAAACAGAATTTTAACTTTGAAAATCTCAGTTTTTCTTTTTACTTAAAAAAAGGGCAATGATTGAAAAAAAGATATATATGTGTAGAGTGCAGAAAAAAATAAATGGGTAACTTTTGATTATCACATTCTGGGACTCAATTTTAATGGTTCAAGTAGGTGACCTCAAATATGCTATTAACAAGCGCTGGTGATAATTTAAGTTACGAAATCGGACACAAAAATGTACTTTCTCTGAATAAATAGATTCAGATTTCTGACTCCCAAAATATAGGGGGTAGTCGCAATCTGGAAAATATAGTCCCAAACGTTTGGTCAGGAGAGGGGTCCAGAGTTTGGACTCCTTAATGTTAATTTGATTTTTTTGTTATTTTGCTGCATTTCGAGAACTTTTTAGGGGAGTTGAAAGAAAAGTTATGTTTTTTCATAGAAAGTATGTTTTTGTGTCTTATTTTTTTGTAACTTAAAACATCTTTTCTAATTGATTAGCATATTTGAGGTCACCACCTCAAACTATTAAGATTGAGTCGTAGAACGTGGCGATCCGAGCATTAGATCAAAAGATATTCAGGATGGTCCGTTTTTTATTTTGTACTCTGCACATATATATATTCACACACATATATAATATATATTTATATATATAAATCTTTTATAAATGCTGTTTTTAAAATATGCCATAATGTAAACACTCATGAAAAACTAATCTATTTTTAGAAAAAGTGAAGATAAAAAGCATAATTATTGTTTCTTGGGGTTCTATTTATTTATTTCATCCAGTAAATTCCTATTACTTTGCTTAAATTTGAAAATTTCTTTACTCACTTGGAACAGTATAATTTTTAATAACTTAATGGAACTGGATAACTTAATATGGAACTTAATTTATAATAAAATAGGTTTAAGATTATTATGCTCTAATTATTTCTGAGCTTCGCAGTTCTTGCTGTAATGAACTTATTTCTTATTTTAGGTGACATACCAATTGAAAATCCTCACAACAGCCCTATTTTCTGTTGCCATGTTGAACAGAAAACTGAATCCTTATCAATGGATTTCATTATTCACTTTGTTTGTAGGTATAGCGCTGGTACAAGTTGCACAGTTTGACACACATTCCCCTGCTCAGGCAGGTCAGAGTCCCCTCATCGGTTTCGTCGCCATCGTCATCGCCTGCTGCATGTCAGGATTCGCTGGCGTTTATTTTGAAAAAATTCTAAAAGGGAGCAATGTCACCGTTTGGATGAGGAACGTCCAACTGTGCATCTCCTCAGTTCCTCTCGGATTTGGGACGATCTTTTTCATGAATTGGTCGGATGTCTCTTCCAAAGGTTTCTTCTACGGATACAACAAAATTGTCTGGACTGTTATTCTCTTGCAAGCCGTCGGGGGCCTGATAGTTGCCATCGTCGTCAAATTTGCTGACAACATTCTGAAAGGTTTCTCCACGTCGCTTGCCATTGTGCTGTCCTGCATACTTTCTGTGTATATATTTGAATTTCAGCTGACGACCAAGTTTGTGTTGGGATCTTCCCTTGTGATTGGCTCCATATTCTTATATGGCAAGCCTTATCAAGCCAATACAAAAAAGTGACATTTTCGATGCTTCGCTTTTTCGAAATGATCGTACGTGGTGCATAGTTTTATATTTTTGACGGTTAATCAAACATTCATTATATACAAAAAAATATTGTTGGTTTTTTTTTTTAAGATTATTTATTTTGTTGAAGCTTATACTGCTGTTCGTGATGCATATTGCTTGTAATGGGGTTTATGGTACTTAAATAATTTTTCTACAATAGTTCTCATTTAACACCTATGTATTACAGCTTAATAATTTTATGATTTGGTTAAACAAATGAGAATTTGTTCCAAAACTATAAAGCACGACCTATAGCCTAAAGTATAAAAGAATAGAAGCTACGGAAATATATATAAAAAATCTTATTCAAAATAAATCTTATTTCAATCACTGCAAAAGTTTTTCAGTCTTTTTCACCATTGGATTATAATCATTTAATTTTTAAATGATTACAATCTGATACATTAATTTGGAATGCAATTTATGAACAAAAAGAAAATTTCCTAAATCAAAAAGATAAGAATAATTAATCACTCCCATCACACCGATTGGTTAATGCAGCAATAATAAATTCTGTTTGTTGCTAAATTCTGTTGTTTGTTCTGTCTGTTGTTGTTAAATTAGCTTTTGAGATTAATGAAAAAGTTTCTGTTATCTTTTCTATGTCTGTAAATTTGATGGGATATCTTGTTATGTAATTTTGTAACTATGTTTGTTTAGATATGTTTTAATTTTTATTATGAAAAATTTAGTTACGTATGTTAAGTCATTCACATTCTTTTCAAATAGAATCCAAACTCACCCCTCCTTTTTTTGGATTGTAACATTGTTACTATTGAGCCTCATAATTGTTTCTGTGCAATCTTTTAAAAAAATCATTGAGTACTATAGCAGCAGTTTCTAAAAGGAGTTCCACATAACTCAAGAGTGGGGGGGGGTATATATTNTGTTCTTCATATATATATATATGTATATATATAAATATTGACCGGTTGTCCAAATTACCTGCACCTCACAAAATGGCAATCAAGAATTCAAACCTGCAATTTTAACTTCATGATTTTAATTGTTCTAAAATTAAAATAAAATTAATAAAACCTGTAATTTATTTATCTTTATCTCTCATTTAATTGTATTTTTTAAAATTCTGTTTTACTGTTTTTTTAAATTCTGTTCGCATTTACTTTTAGAACCAATAATTTTTGCAGTGTTCAACAATAGAGCCATATATTTATTCTGCAGTGGGAGGATGAGTAAGTGATGATTTGGTAGCAGTTTTCACCAAGGAAATGTTAACCATCGCTTGAAATCGAGCAATTTTTTTTTTTAAAATTCAGTCACAAAAGAAAAAAATTTATTTTAATAAAAAATTAGTTTCCTTTCATTGTAAATTTAAATACAAATAAAGTGAAAAATTGTAATCTCAGAAGGTGCTATGTCCCTTCATTTATAAAATATGAGAGGTCTACAGCCCCTCTGCCCCGGTCTTTGGAATGGTCACAAGAGTTTCAAAAGTTAAACTATTTTTTTAAGCTCTTATTACATTAAACTATTTTTATAACCTGTTATTACATTTATACGATATTAACGATTGATTAATTTAATATTTTAAAATTTCCATAAGGCCAATGTTTTTTTTATTTTGAATAATGAAAAAAAAAATATTTGGTGCTTTTAAAATAGTTTTTTGATTATATAAATTATGTTTTTCCATACCTTTGAATTTTAACAATCACTACTTTCCGAGACCCTATTTAAATGATTGAACTGTTTTCATTTTCTATAAAGACAACCAGTATCTAGTATTTACAAATGTTAACTTCATACTCCACTTTGACATTTAACGGAACAAAATAATAATTGTGTTAAAGGGGAGTGTTGGATAAAAAGTTTGGGAAACTCTGTCCTTGATTAATCTAATTAGCCACTATTTATAGTATGGTTGTAATTTAAAATATTTAACTTTTTCACAAATGTTGAGAATTTTAGTTTCTTGTGCTGAGTTAAAAGGTTTAATCTGTCACATAGCTCAAAAAACAAAATTGAGGTTTAAAGATAAGAAGTCATCATTGTTTTCATTGCATCCATTAAATCTTACTGTTGTTCTATAATTCATATTTTGATTCGTCTACTTCTAGCTGAATTTAATTCAAAAATGCTGATACAACAATTGCATTTAGCGCAGTATTTTAAAGAGCTCTTTTTGTAAAATAATTGCAATTTCTAATTTATGCAATATTTAGAAAAATGTTTTGAAAGATCTTATCTGCATCATTCCAATTTATAAATGAACTTGCAATTAGCTTATACCTCTTTTTATTTACTCTTACCCTTATTTACCTTAATTTGCACATTTAAAGTATTTCTAAGATATTTTATTTAAAAACTGATTGTTTTATTTAAAAAGAATACAGATATTGTGAGCTTAATATTTAGTATACTATTATATTGTAATATAAGTATGCATACACATTTGGATATAATAAAAACTTAACTAGAAATAATTTTATTTTATTTTAATAGCTTTCAGTAGATATTCATATTTTGTGATCAACTAAATTTAGTATTAAACCGAATTTTAGGATGGTTAAAAATATTGTTACTTTCAATAATGACTTATTTTAATTTAAAATTAATGCCGCCAAAATTGCTTTAAAAACTGCAATAACTATTTCTTGATTCAAGTACCAATGAAAATAAATGCATTTAAGTCTAGTCTTAAATAACTTTTAATACTTTTTTGGAGATAGAATAAAAACTGAAATTACTTAAGGACTTGCAATGCATGGAACTGAGATTTGGTCACACACTGAATATTAGGCATACTACTAATTGTTTAATGTTTTTCAGGTCAATACATAAATTTTAAAATTTTTAAACTGTGCCCACCGCTTATTACAATCATGCCTATTTTGAGAACATTTGATTTTTTTTAAATAGGAATATCTACCCTGTGGGAAAAAAAAGTTTCAAAGTCTTAACAAATACACTAAAAGTTAAATTTGTTACTACTTCATTTATATTTCAACTGAATATACATTGAAAATTTTAACTAAACATGAGTTACATTTTTTTTTTCATTTACAGAAGTTTTTTTAAAAATATTAGTATATTTGTATTGCTGCCAACTCTCCTGAATTTTGCCAGTTTTTCCGGTCTACTGGTTTAATAAAAATTCTCCTGGTTTTTGGATACTTTAGAAAATTCCCTAAAATTCGGTAAGTTTCCTTAAAAAAATCCCCATCAAAATAGAATTCCCTATTGAAATAAAATTTTTGTAAATTATTGCTTGCTTGAGTATTTAAATAAATGTTACTAATACATAATGAAACAAGCCTCATTTATAAAAATCAGTTAGCTATCTTTGATGAATTAAATACTTATTACTATTCAAAATTGAGAGTACTCACTCTCAATTCACTATCAAAAAACTATTCACATTTCAACTTCATTTAATGTTAATCATGAATGGAAAATATTGCTTTTTTTTTATTTCGATCACTCTAAAAATCCTTAAAATTCCCTATGTGTAAAATTAGTACATTTTGTAACAGTTGTCAAGAAATTTATATTATTTCGTAAAATCTACTGGATTTTTCCCTATCCACATTGGTAGCTATGTATTTGTTAGATTAGCAAACTTTAAAATTAAAGATACGTGTTTTGAAAGTTTATAAAAGTATATGTGTAACTTGTTTTTAAATTCATTTTAAAATATTAAGTGCTTTTCTGACGTCTGTTGAAGAAATTGATGACAATTAAATAATAGGCATTCTACAACTTTTCTCTATTCATAAATAGTTATATTTTCGATTCTTTAGCACTCTTAGTCTTATAATTTTTCTTTTTGTTAATAGGGGTACGCTAAATTTTTATTAGATTTTGAAACTAAGAGAAAAATTATATTAATTAGACAAGAGAGTTTTGAATTATTTTAAGCATAAGCTCTATAAAGTTTAAATTTATAAAACGACAATCAGGATCCGTGTTTTGATATTGTAATATAGCATATTTGATTTCTTGAAAAAAAAGAAAGGTTTTATAATTCAGCGATTTTATTGGTGTTATTATGTAGTTAGCTATGTTTTTTTGGATTTATTCTTACTACTCCTGTTAACCCTAGATTAATAAATATTTTATGGGTGAAAGAGGTAGAAAAATAAACTTCTAAGTAACATTCTTAGATCATTAGATAAATGTTTCTGAAGAGTGCCTCTCCCACGTAATTTGATGATCTCAAAATGGCTCAAACTGGAAAGGTCTAGTATGTATCCAGTTTTTATCTATGGAATTACAAAAAAATGTTAACGTAGATGTATAAAAAAGTTTTCATTATTCATTTTTTGTTATTTAAATGTTTAGAATATATATATTTATATATATACATACACACATGTATATGTATACACACATATATATATATTAGGAGGCAACCAATAATCCCCTTGAACATACATTAAAACTACGTCACTGCTTGTGAGGCTATATTTGTCTTTGCATTTTGACTACCCAGAACGTTTTCGTCATTTGTCCGTTTCTCTTAAACAAGCCAATGAATACATAGCACTTCATCCTGGAATTTTCTATCTTTTATCGCAGTTAAGCCTTCTTATGATAAAATTTGTAATTTTCAATGCAATTCTGGGGAATATTCTTATCTTTTCATTTTATAAATATTTAGTTACCTTAAATGAATTAATAAACAAAAATATTAAGTAATATACTATTATAAATTCAAAATATCAATTAGTTTTATGTATACATAAAATATGATATATTCTTTCATAAACTTACCAAAGTTCAATTTTAAATATTAGTAAATAAAAGTTGAAACAGGCAATAATCATAAAAATGGTCATCACACTCACCAAGACGTTTGTTTACGTTACTTAATAATAGAAGCCCGGCAAATTAAAATTTTAGATAATACGTGTTTATAAAATTCCAAAATTAAATAACCGAGATCTATTTGAATTTTATAATGTAAATTCATACGTACGTTTTTGTATACGTATAAATACATACATATAAGTACGTTTTTGTGTCTGATTTCGTAACAAGTACTGAGATTAGGGGGTGTTTATTAACTGGATTACAGAACGATGAAAAACCAATGTATAAACAAGTGTTCCTTTACTGGGATTTTTTCAAGTTAATGAAAATAAAAGAAAAATTTTAATTTTCTTGTACCTTTTGTCATATTATAAATCAAAATTATGTTAAAAATAAAAAA